CATTAAAATTGTCTGAATATTAAACAAAAGTAGACTGGGGACCAAACTCTACAGGTAACAAATAAGAAAGTGAGAGCACATCATCATTGCAATTTTATGGCATTGCAGACAGCAAAACAGTCTTACTATCTCCACTTTTATTAAATCCCTGAGCTGCCATCCAACTGAGCTTTCCTGAGCAATTAATATGTTGTCAAAACCAAAACAAGGTAAGAGATGTGGCAGAACCTTAGATAATTGTTTTGACAAGTTTGCAGGCACTTTGAGGATAAAATTATTGATATTCCAGTTGTGATGTTGCAATAGATTTTAGTACTATTGTCATGTCAATTTCAGTTGAGATATTCTAATGGATTGTTGAAGGCTTTCAAGGCTGGAATCACTGGGTTACTGTGAGTTTTCCGGGCTGTATGGCCTGTCAAAGATGTGGGTGAAACATCACTGAAACATCAGGAGAGAATGCTTCTGGAACATGGTTATACAGCCTGGAAAACTCACAGTAACCCACCTATTCTAATTGAGTTTAGTATTATTATCATGTCATTAACATCTGGCAACACCTAGCAAAAGGTGGTAATAAAACCACTCCAGACAGTTCCACATTGGGGGAAAAACCTCTTTCAGCCTGGCTGCAAGTCTGGGCTTAGCACAGAAACAGCCTAGTTCACCCTGATGGATAGCCACAACAGGGATGCATGACCCTGAAAAATCTTTTGGCTGCATTAATACATAAACAATGCTACTACTTAAATAGCTGTGTGGCTTGGGGATAGAATGTAGGGCAATATAGTGGTTCTGCTCTTGAGGATTTCTGATTAATCTCATAGAAACAGGTGCTGAATTCTCCAAGGGTCCATCTTACACTTCAAACTTTTGAGCAGAAAGGGAAACCCACAACTCATGAGCTGAATTTGGAATACCAGACCTTGTCATGTGACCTATGCAACTCAACTGGGAATTAGATTTGGTCCATCTTTGTTTTTCCCAAAGAAAGCTGGCCTCACATGACATGGCTAGCCTCAAATGACAAAAGGCTATGTAGGTAATGATGAAGTTTCTTGAAAAGCAGATCAGCCTCTCCACTGCAAAAAAGTGTGCAAAGCAAACACTGACGAGTCTGACATCAAATTCACTTTGAATACTGTTTATCTGAAGTGCCTCCTTTTGCCTTCTATTTTTAATTTGGGAAGCCTATAACCTTGACATCCCAACCAAGTGCTACTGTGGGTTTCAACTTCAAAGGATTTCCTTCTCCTATGTACAGGAAGCCTCTCAAGTGAATTAAATAAACAAATGCAATTTAACATAAAATTACAAACAAAATAATTACAAAGTATTATTTTAAAACAGTAGAGGAAAATGTGGAATCGGCCCTGTTATAAAAGCTCATTCTGTGGTTGCCAAAGGCCTGTCTAAATAAATATGTATTTGCCTGCTGACTGAAAAATATCAAGAGAAGAAGCCAGCCTTGTGTCTCTAAATAAGAAGTTCCAGAATCTGGGAACCACCAGCAAAAAGCCCTTTCTCACATTAAGGATTCATTTGTACTGTAGAATTAACACCATTTTATTGCCATAAAGGAATGCCATAGTTCAATGCTAAGGAATCCTGGGAGTTTCAGTTTGGTGATGCACCAGCTTTCTTTGGCAGGTAAAATGAAAGATCTGTAAAACTGTAATTCCCATCACCCCAAGGAGCTGCGGTGGCACAATGGGTTAAACCTTCGTGCCAGCTGAATCACTGACCTGAAGGTCCGCGAGACAAGGTGAGCTCCCGTATATCGGCCTCAGCTTCTCATGCTGAAACATGAGAAAAGCCTCCCACAGGATGGTAACACATCCCAGCATCCCGGGGGCAATGTCTTTGCAGATGCCGATTCCCTGATACCAGAAGTGACTTGCAGTTATCTCAAGTCGCTTCTGACATGAATCACCCCATAGTTTTGAACAATGACTGGTAGTGTCAAATTGCATTAATTTTACTGTGCACATGCACACTCAGTATGTATATCTCAGATTTTAGCCAGAGCTAGAAAAGAACCTGCCTTGAAAATATCAAAACTGAGAAAGGTTCATATTGCAGAATACAGCCCGTCATGCAACTAGAACCATAATGTACAATTTCACTGAAGCACTTAGCTCCCTTCTACACTGCCATATAATCCAGATTATTAAAACAAATAATCCACATTATCTTCTTTGAACTGGATTATCTGAGTCCACACTGTCATATAACCCAGTTCAAAGTAGATACTCTAGATTTTATATGGCAGTGTAGAAGAGACCTTAGACTGCCAGAACTATCTGGGGAAATTGCAAAGGAGTCTGTTCTCCAGTTCTGAATTCCTTTTTGCTTGTTTCCCTTCCATAAGACCCCAGATGCTTCATTTTCTATTTGATCAGTAGAAAGATTTTATCCTCCACACTCCAATGTCATGGAGGGAATTTGGCACAAATGTCACCTTACCTGACTCTGCCGGTCACATGGATGATGCACAGGATAGGGATACAGGCACTCAAACTGGTCAGGGGAGAACAGGATACACCGCTTGTATCCCTTAATCTGAGCAAAGAAATTCTGCTGTTCATCATAATGAGCTGGAGTCACATTTCCTACACAAAGAAAGGCCGAGACAGTCAGCATGAAACAAAAAACCTTGTCCTATCGACTGACTTTGTCCATAACAAGGGCATAGTCCTATTACAAAATAGAAGAAGTGGGATGAGAATCCGAAATTAATTCAGAAAACAAAACAGACTTCTCAGCAAGTTCACATCATAGCTGCCGTGTTTCCACCGTTTAAGAAACGGTGCTCTAGACTGTAAGTGTATGCAATGTTTTATATGTTTTAATGTGCATTTAATTTTAATTTTAAACTTAAGTGTATTTTAACTGTTTGTTGTCCAAAGGCATTGAATCGTAGCCATATGTAAAGCAACCTTGAGTCCCCTTTGGGGTAGAGGAAGGTGGGATACAAATAGAGTAAACAAATAAATAATAAATAAATATGTGGGAAAATAGTGACGTACAACCAGTTCCTAGCTCTCCCTTCTAGACCCCCATGAGCCTGAAAAAAGCCTCCAACTAGAGACTTAATTGTAATGAAATTAGGGAGGAAGGGCAATATAGGAATCACAGGTGTAGACGGAACTGTTTTGCTACCTGCCACAGATTAGCTAGTACTTCTTTCCTGCCCATCAGTGGCACACATTTCATGGAAAGCCACGAGCAAGGAAATGCACTCTTTTGTGTAAAAACACTCATCACCATTACAACAACAACAAATAATAAAAATAATAAAAATAATAATAATAATAATAATAATAATAATAATAACAATAACTTTATTTATAGACCACCCTCTATAACTGATTCAGGGCGGTTTACAAAAAAAAAAGGCAAACAGTCAATACTGTAATCAACAAAGAGAAAGAAATCAAAGCAATATAGTCAACATGAATAGACTTATAACTACCAATATAAAATACTAATGACAATACTAATGGGTTGTTGTGAGTTTTCCGGACTGTATGGCCATGTTCCAGAAGCATTCTCTTCTGACATTTCACTTGCAACTATGGCAGGCATCTTTATCCTGCATCCATAGATGCAGGTGAAATGTCAGGAGAGAATGCTTTTGGAACATGGCCTTACAGCCCGGAAAACTCACAACAACCCAGTCATTCTGGCCATGACAGCCTTCAACAATACATTGGACAATACTAACATTTAAATAAGCACAGTTACAATAAAAGCACAGTATCCCAAAGAGTTAAAATGACGAATATGCAAAAGAGCAAACCAAAACCATATAAATATCCATAATATATCAATATATCAATACTCTAAAGGCAGCAATCTTTACTGATTTCAGTAGCTAAACACTCTGACCTCTATAAAAACTATATAAAACATATGGACCTCCAGATATTCTTGAATGCCAATTCCTAGCATTCCTCATCCTTAGCTATTCTGGATAGGGCTGCTGGGAATTGTAGTCCAATAACATATGGAGAACTAAACAATTCCAACCCCTAAAGTGAGTGAGAAGGAGGTTTTTTTCTTGAAAAAGCCCTGCTTCAAAAAGCACACTAACTTAACTGCCCTTGACTTCAGTCTTCATTTCTCAAATTGATATTGGATATTTATGTTCAAAATATTCAAAAGTGCTACACTAAAAAGGTATCCAAATAAAACACATTGAAATTGTCAAAACCACAAGAAGAAATATAAACGTGTTACCTTCCATGCCAATCAATAACAAGTTGGATGTCAGCTGACCCCAGCCTCGTTTTGCCTGCTGCCTATTAATCCAATTCCAATTAAAGCCGAGGAAGTCCACCACAATTTTCCTCCCAACTGTATCATTTAGAGTCTGTTGCAGATACAATCTGTGTCCAGAAAACAAGGAAAGAGAAATGTTAGCGCTGTGTGTTGAAATGAAGACCTCATTCATTTGATTCCCCCTTCAAATTCTTTATCAGGGACAAATGCATATTAAAGAGGGATTCAACTTGCTATAGCAAAGTATTTCAAGGAAACAACTCCACTTCAAAGATAAGGGGGCAAAACTCCTCTTGATCATTTTGCTAGCCTTTCAATAAGAGCGAAACAACTCAAGATCAGTCCAGGTTTTTGAAAACGCCTTCAAAATATTCAGCAGGTAATTTAACTAGCCCTTATCTAGTTGTATGGATTTCATTTTGCTGTTCTTATATTTTATAGTTTTATTTGTAAATCACTCAATACTTTTGGCTAAACAACTGGGTCAACAGTTAATACACAAATAAACAAGTCACACCCATACTGGCATAGTCATCCACTGGTGCCCAAAGACATCTTTAAGGACTATAATCCCACATTTGATTTCAACTGCAGCCTAAATTTTGTGATGCAGTCATTCGTCTGTAATAATAGCTGAAGTAGAAGCATCTACGAGGGGAAGAAGGGATTTACTACAATTGCTTCTATGCTATAGGATGGCCTCTGGTGGACATTGACACAATATTAATTTCGCAATTGTTCAGAGACTATGAAAAACCTATTGTTTCCAAAGGCTTTATGGCTTCAGCTATGTCAGGGATGGGGATGCTACTGGGATACAGCTCCTGTCAGACATGGCCAGCATAATAAATGACGCAGGGCAATAGGAACTGCAGTTCAACATTGAGGACCACATGTTCCTCAACACAACCAATAATACAGCAAATTATTCTGGTTTCAGTTGCTAATGATTTCTTTACTTTAATATTACTTTAATTATATTGTCTGTTTTGAAGAGAAGCTGAAAGCCATTTAAGTTTTAATCAGAATATTAAAATTGATTCCAGGTAGATAAGGCGTGCTTTGCAACACTAAAATCACTAGGATAAGTTAAAGGTAAAGCTTTTCCCCTTGACATTAAGTCTAGTCATATCCAACTCTGGGGAGTGGTGTTCGTCTCCATTTCTAAGATGAAGAGCCAGTGTTGTCCATAGACGCCTCCTAGGTCATGTGGCCAGAATGACTGCATGGAGCACCATTACCTTTCCTGCTGGAGCAATACCTATTGATCTACTCACATTTGAATGTGTTTGAATTGCTAGGCTGGCAGAAGCTGGGACTAACAGCAGGAGCTCACCCCGCTCATCACATTCGAACCACAGACCATTCGGTCAGCAAGTTCAACAGCTCCCCATTGTTAGCAATAACCAAATGATAGCCCAGTAATTTCAACAAGTGAAACTAATTAGTCTGGCTCGAATTCATCTTTAAAATTACTTATCCTCACCTATATCAGCACTGCCAACAGTCTAATGATGACTTTCCTCATAATCAGGATAACCAGGAAACAAACATTCCGGTCATCTTACTCTAACCCAGGCCCTTTCCACATAGCTGAATAAAATCCCACATTTTCTGCTTTGAGCTGGATTATATGGCAGTGTGGACTTAGATAACCTAGTTTAAAGCAGATATCATGGGATTTTCTGCCTTGATTATCTGGGTTATATGGCTGTATGGAAGGGCCCTTACTCTTCTTTGAAGCCAGCTTCCCAGTTTCTGTATTTCCCCATGAAATTAGAGAAATTTGACAGCACTAAAAATAATTTGGCATAGAAAAGCTTTATTATTACTACTACTACTTATATCCTGCTTTTTCTCTTTAAAAAAGGCCCAAAGCAGCTAACAGTTAAACAAATACAATATACAGTTTAAGACCTAGAAAATATACATTTTTTTCAAATTAAATATTGAAACTATTAAAATAATCAGTTAAAACCATTGAAACTAATTAAGACCTGATTCACATAGCCAAAACACTTCACTGCACCCGTGGCTCAATCTTAAAATTGTTCTTCATCTTAACATCCTAAGTGCTCCCCAAAGTAGCAAATCTAAAAATGCCTGGCCAAGTTAGTTACAATGGCTAGATAAAATTGAACTCTGTTTCTTCCCATTCTTTTTATTTATTACTGCTCCTGGTTATTATTACAACACTGCTGGTTTGATTTTTGTTGTTTTCTATCTTGAAAAAAATACGCATTGAAAGGTCATTGAGAAACAAAACAAAAAAAACACTGATACATTAAGCCCTATTCTTTTGCAGTTGATGCTAGCAGAAGTTAACCTGTTGCTTTAGAAAAAAAGCTTGTGCTGGGTTTAAAAAAAGGAAAGACCTTCCAAATTAGGAGGCACAAACGCTAACTACAGAAATGTCAAGATCCACTTTGGATAAATATACATTTTTTTTTCATGTCAGGAACGACTTGAGAAACTGGAAGTCGCTTCTGGTGTGAGAGAATTGGCCGTCTGCAAGGACATTGCCCAGGGGATGCCCTGATGTTTTCCCATCCTGTGGGAGGCTTCTCTCATGTCCCCACATAGGAAGCTAGAGCTGACAGACGGGAGCTCACCCTGCTCCCCGAATTTGAACCGCTGACCTTTCAGTGAGCAACCCTGCCGGCACAAGGGTTTAACCCATTGCACCACCGGGGGCTCCTAAGAAATGATTTTGGAGGTCCTGTAATTAGACCAACTCCAGCAGGAAAGACAAATTCAAGAAAGTATAGCATACCCTAGGTATCATAGCAAATCACTAGGAATGAAATACGTGATTTGCTTTTTGTTAGCTTTGCAAGAATACCTGGATTATAACCTACAACTAAAACAAAAATGTCAAGATGCTCTAGAATCAAACTGGTTTTTTTTTTCAAAACAGCAAAATCAACAATGACACTGAACCCAAGAAGAGTAAAACTAAAACAACAGCCCCAAGAAATAACTCCCACATTCACTCAAGGAAATATCCTGTCCTCAGACATTACCTTTCTCCACTACCCTGCTGCTGGATTTCTTGGAGCTGCTCAACAAAATTACTAAATTTCATCTCTTCCCTGCTTGACTTTGGCTTGAAGTTCTTAACATTTGCCATTTTCTTTTCATCGTAATACAAAAACTTGTGAGTGCTTGCTTTGTAAACGGAGAAGTCCCCACTCCCAATGTTTTCCTGAAGATAGTCCAGGTCCCATTTCAGGGCAGGATATACCAAATTTGTATCGGTCAGAACAACTGGCTCCTGGAAAGACAATACAAAGTGAATTAATGCAGAATCCTAAGGGGATAGATAAGAGATTTATAAGTCGCAATCACATGTATTCTGAATGATTTTTTAAAAAGGAATAAGCAATGGGAAGAAATCAGAGAAAGGAGCTTCAAAAAGTAGCCACAAAGAAAATAGCCACTAATTCCATTGTGCTTTTATCCCAGCAGTTGGCGAGAGGCTTCTTCTGGTGTGGTCTCTGCAGAAGAGAAGAGCAACCAGCATCTGCTGTATTTATTCCCCTCCCAAAGGATCATCCCCTTTACCTCGTGTGTTGTGTCTTATGAGATTGTAAGTCTTAGAGCAATGAATGAACGGTCAAATTACTAATTCTTCAGGGAGCCTTTTGAGTCGAGGGATGGGGGGCAAATATTCTACATCAGGGGTCCTCAAACTAAGGCCCGGGGGCCAGATGCGGCCCTCCAAGGTCATTTACCCGGCCCTTGCTCAGCTTCAACCTAAGTCTGAAACGTCTTGAAAACACACAACAATAACAACAATCCTATCTCCTCAGCCAAAAGTAGGCCCATACTTTACATTGAAATACTAATAATTTTATATTTGTTAAAATTGTTCTTCGTTTTAATTATTGTATTGCTTTTAAGTGTTCTTTGCACTACAAATAAGATATGTGCAGCGTGCACAGGAATTCATTCATGTTTTTTTTTTTTCAAATTATAATCCGGCCCTGCAACAGTTTGAGGGACTGTCACCTGGCCCCCTGTTTAAAAAGTTTGAGGACCCCTGCTCTACATAAACATTCTATGGATTCCTTCTATAAGCACAACCTGACAAACCAAAAGGAGAAGCTTCAGAAAGCAAAGAAAACACCACAATGGAATTGACTACTTAAGGCTGTGTTCTAGGTGATGCAAAATCTCCAATGTTTATTATTGATCATTAATTTATACTTGCATGTTTCTCCAAGATTCTATAGGAGGAGGCAGCCACAGGGTTTCAGATAATAATAATAATAATAATAATAATAATAATATACACCAAAAACTAGAAGACCCAAGATTCTGTAGGAGGCAGCCAAAAATCTGATTTGTGTTTCAGCATAATAATAATAATAATAATAATAATAATAATAATAATAATAATATATTTATTTATTTATATCCTGCTTTTCTCCCTCAAAGCAGCTTACAACATATTAAAATCTTGTAAACAACAACTCATATACATCGATGATCAGTATAAAACATCATAAAATAAGCAGTTTAAAACAATAATATACATTCACATTCTTGTGGCATCATGTCAGATTATGTCACACTTTGTTCCAGTCCATAAACATTATGATGTTTCTTATCACTCCAGCTTAGTCTGCTTCACTAAAGGCCTGCACTTTCATGGATATCGGTCCACTTTCTCAATTTCAAAACAGATCAGCGTTTCTTCAACTTTCCCACATGGGACCCCTTTCTGCCCAATAAATGTTTACGTAACCTCAGATATACAAAATAGCTATAAAATTCAAATATTTACTATGTTGCTGTGAGTTTTCCGGGCTGTATGGGGACATGAGAGAAACCTCCCACAAGGATGGTTAAACATCAAAATTTTGCCTGGGCAACGTCCTTGCTGACGGCCAATTCTGTCACACCAGAAGCGGCTTGCAGTTTCTCAAGTCGCTCCTGACATGACAAACAAACAAACAAAAAAACAAAACAAACCTCTGAGGATGCCTGCCATAGATGTGGGTGAAATGTCAAGAGAGAATGCTTCTGGAACATGGCCATACAGCCCTGAAAATTCACAGCAACCCAGTGATTCCGGTCATGAAGGCTTTTGACAATGCATCAAACATTTACTGAAAACAAATCAGCATTTTCAAGGTTTGTTAAACAGACTGATTTTCCTTTTTATGAGATACAGCTGAATCCTCTTCTGCAGAGTCCACTCTAAAAATTGCACAACAGATTTGTGTACATGTCTAAAAGAAACACTAGGTGACATTCAGAAATAGTTTGGGATCCTAACATTGAGCCAAGAATACCCCAGTTTAAGACGCAATGAGACCTGCAGATCTTCCAGGGAGATCCTCCTTTCACTCCCACCACTGTCACAAGCACGATTGGTGGGGACAAGAGAGAGGGCCTTCTCAGTGGTGGCCCCCTGCCTCTGGACCTTCCTAGAGAAATAAGACAGGCCCCATCCTCCCCTCCTTTCGTAAGAGCCTGAAGACCTGGTGGTTTAAACAGCCTTTGAGAATGACTAGTTCTAGTGGCCATATCTTTTTCTACCAATTACCCAGGTTACTTCCTCCTATTAGGCCCCGGAAATGAACAGCCATTGTTGTTATTGTTGTTGCCTGTCTTAGCATTGCATCTAATTTCCCGGGCCCTCTACAAATTGCACTAGCCTTGCCCCGGCCTTTTAAATTGCCTTGAACAGACAGGATTATTTTAAATATATATGTGCTATTGTGATTTTTATGCTTATATTGTCTTGTTAATTTTATGTTTATGTTGTCTACTTTGTATGTATTGATGATGTTACTTGGAAACCGCTCTGAGTCCTCCTCGGGGAGATAGAGCGGTATATAAATAAAGTTTTGTTGTTGTTGTTTTGTTGCAGATGAACCCAAGGTCTATTTTTATTCACTGTGACTGGGTGGTTATATTTAGAAGCTGATGATGTCATTGTTTTGCCATTGGGTTATTTGCTACACATCTGTTGCAGGGCTAGAGTTCAAAACTTTGAGTAGTGCTACCTGGCATGGTTTTGAAACAGTCTCCTCTGATATCCCCCAGGCTGCACCTACAGCCATAGGGCTACATTGGAACCCTAGTCAAAGATATCTGGCGGTTGCAAAGTTGGGGGACGTAGGTTTTTTGAGCTCCCAAGGTTAGAAATAATGGCACAACATAGAATTGCTGTAGAAAGGAACAGCTGCTGTAGGAATAAGCAGGAAGATATGACCATAGGAGGTATTTGCCTTTCCTCAATAATAGTTTGCATGTTTGGTAGATTTTGAATCTTTGCACATTTCTTGCTTTTTAGTTGTTTACTATTATTATTATTATTATTATTATTATTATTATTGGAGTCTTCCTTGCAGGATCTGTGGCTGCCTCCTCCTACAGAATCCTGGGTCTTGTAGTTTTTGGTTGTTTATTATTATTATTATTATTATTATTATTATTATTATTATCTGAAACCCTGTGGCTGCCTCCCCTACAGAATCTTGGGTCTTGTAGTTTTTGGTTTATTATTATTATTATTATTATTATTATCTGAAACCCTGTGGCTGCCTCTTCCTACAGAATCTTGGGTCTTGTACTTTTTGGTTTATTATTATTATTATTATTATTATTATTGTCTGAAACCCTGTGGCTGCCTCTTCCTACAGAATCTTGGGTCTTGTACTTTTTGGTTGTTGTTATTATTATTATTATTATTATCTGAAACCCTGTGGCTGCCTCCTCCTACAGAATCTTGGGTCTTGTACTTTTTGGTTTTGTTGTTATTATTATTATTATTACTATCTGAAACCCTGTGGCTGGCTCCTCCTACAGAATCTTGGGTCTTGTACTTTTTGGTTTATTATTATTATTATTATTATTGTTACTATTACTATTATCTGAAACCCTGTGGCTGCCTCTTCCTACAGAATATTGGGTCTTGTACTTTTTGGTTGTTTATTATTATTATTATTATTATTATTATTATTATTATCTTAAACCCTGTGGCTGCCTCCTCTACAGAATCTTGGGTCTTGTACTTTTTGGTTTATTATTGTTGTTGTTGTTGTTGTTACTATTACTATTATCTGAAACCCTGTGGCTGCCTCCTCCTACAGAATCTTGGGTCTTGTACTTTTTGGTTGTTTATTATTATTATTATTATTATTATTATTATTATCATTATCATTATATTATCTGAAACCCTGTGGCTGGCTCTTCCTACAGAATCTTGGGTCTTGTAGTTTTTGGTTGTGTTGTATTATTATTATTATTATTATTATCTGAAACCCTGTGGCTGCCTCCTCCTACAGAATCTTGGGTCTTGTAGTTTTTGGTTGTTTTTTATTATTATTATTATTATTATTATTGTCTGAAACCCTGTGGCTGCCTCTTCCTACAGAATCTTGGGTCTTGTACTTTTTGGTTGTTGTTATTATTATTATTATTACTATCTGAAACCCTGTGGCTGGCTCCTCCTACAGAATCTTGGGTCTTGTACTTTTTGGTTGTTGTTGTTGTTATTATTATTATTATTATTATTATTATTATTATATTATTATTATTATCTGAAACCCTGTGGCTGCCTCCTCCTACAGAACCTTGGGTCTGGTACTTTTTAGTTGTTTATTATTATTATTATTATCCGTAACCCTGTGGCTGCCTCCTCCTACAGAACCTTGGGTCTTGTAGTTTTGGGGAGGGGCCTTTAAATGCTCAGCCAGGGAGGGCCTGGGCCTCACTGAACTACAAGCCCCAGAATTCTGCTGGAAGAAGCAGCCACAGGGTTTCAGATGGGATGCAGGCTGGCTTGCCTTTTGCAACCTCCTCTCCAGCTAGCTCTTGAAGACACGGGGTCGGGGGCCCTTCCACCCCCAGGGCCGAGGCCTCCACAAGCCCCGGGAGGAAGCCAGGCCCTGTGTCTGGGGCGAGGAGCCCTTCCCTCCCGCTGGCCCTTCACCTCGTTCTCGATGAGCTCCTCGGCGCGCGGGTCTCCGTGGCGGAGCCTGGGGATAGGCCGCGTTTGGAAGCTGTACCGCCGGAACTGGTCTTCGCTCCAGCCGCGCTCTCCGCCTTCGGAGGCCCGCGGAGACGGCGGGGAGTCGGACGCCCTGGCCTCCTCCTCCTCTTCCGCCGCCGAATAGGAGCCCGACATGGCCCCTATCCGGACCTGCCGCCGAGGCCCCGACGACGGTGGCTTCCTTCTCCCGCGCCCGGGAACGGCGGCCCCACGCACCAGGAAGTGGTCCGACTGCGGCCGGCGCCCTCCCGGAAGCCCGCGCCAAGGAAAGGCGCCTTGGTCCGGCCCAGGGAGCAGCGCCCCTAGCGGCAAGCCGCGCCATGGCTCCTTCCAGGTCCCCGCTTCCTTTTGCTCTCTAACGAGTTGGGCCTACCACTCTCAGGACCCTTCCACACAGCCCCATAGCCCAGAATACGAGGGTTGAATGAAAAGTAATGCCTCCACCTTCGTTACTTGGGTTGGGATGGGAATCTATATAAATAAAAATGTAATGTTCGTTTGTGGGATTAACAGAACTCAAAAACCACTGGACGAATTGACACCAAATTTGGACACAAGACACCTAATAACCCAATGTATGTCCTTCAGAAGTGACGAGCGGAGTGCCGCAGGGTTCCGTCCTGGGCCCGGTCCTGTTCAACATCTTTATTAATGACTTAGATGAAGGGTTAGAAGGCATGATCATCAAGTTTGCAGACGGACACCAAATTGGGAGGGATAGCCAATACTCCAGAGGACAGGAGCAGGATTCAAAACGATCTTGACAGATTAGAGAGATGATGGGCCAAAACTAACAAAATGAAGTTCAACATGCAAGATACTCCACTTTGGCAGGAAAAAAGAAATGCAAAGATACAGAATGGGGGATGCCTGGCTCGAGAGCAGTATGTGTGAAAAAGATCTTGGAGTCCTTGTGGAAAACAAGTTAAACATGAGCCAACAATGTGATGTGGCGGCAAAAAAAGCCAATGGGATTTTGGCCTGCATCAATAGGAGCATAGTGTCTAGATCTAGGGAAGTAATGCTACCCCTCTATTCTGCTTTGGTTAGACCACACCTGGAATTGTGTCCAATTCTGGGCACCACAATTCAAGAGAGCTATTGACAAGCTGGAATGTGTCCAGAGGAGGGCGACTAAAATGATCAAGGGTCTGGAGAACAAGCCCTATGAGGAGCGGCTTAAGGAGCTGGGCATGTTTAGCCTGAAGAAGAGAAGGCTGAGAGGAGATATGATAGCCATGTATAAATATGTGAGAGGAAACCACAGGGAGAAGGGAGCAAGCTTGTTTTCTGCTTCCTGGAGACTAGGACGTGGAACAATGGCTTCAAACTACAAGAGAGGAGATTCCATCTGAACATGAGGAAGAACTTCCTGACTGTGAGAGCCGTTCAGCAGTGGAACTCTCTGCCCCGGAGTATGGTGGAGGCTCCTTCTTTGGAAGCTTTTAAACAGAGGCTGGATGGCCATCTGTCAGGGGTGATTTGAATGCAATATTCCTGCTTCTTGGCAGGGTGTTGGACTGGATGGCCCATGAGGTCTCTTCCAACTCTTTGATTCTATGATTCTATGATTCACTCAAAAATTGATTTTGTCATTTGAGAGTTGTAGTTGCTGGGATTTATAGTTCACCTACAATCAAAGAGCATTCTGAACCCCACCAACGATGGAATTGAACCAAACTTGGCACACAGTTCTCCCATGACCAACGGAAAATACTGGAAGGGTTTGGTGGGCAGTGTCCTTTGGTTTTGGAGTTGTAGTTCACCTACATCCAGAGATCACTGTGGACTCAAACAATGATGGATCTGGACCAAACCCTACACAAATACTCAATATGCTGAAATGTGAACACTGGTTGAGTTTAGGGAAAATAGACCTTGATATTTGGGAGTTGTAGTTGCTGGGATTTATAGTTCACCTACAATCAAAGAGCATTCTGAACCCCACCAACTAATAGAATTGGGCCAAACCTCCCACACAGAACCCCCATGTGGGCCACAGCACAATGTGGCAAGGGACGGCTAGTATTTTATTCTGGGTAACATGGCTGTTTGGAAGGGCCCCTAGGCTCCTGAGAGTATTTCTAATTGTCTTCTTCCCCTCTTTTTTTTTTTTTACAGTTTGGAACAATTATATAACAAATTATGACAGAAGCAGACAGGAAATCCTCCTGTATGTGGGATGGCTCTGTCGCTTTTCATTACATAATTGGATTTAAACTGTTTAGAAACAGGGGGAAGGTGTCTCATGGGATAAAATCCTAGGAAGTATGACCACCTGTCCATAGAATGGTCTCCAAGTCATCCACCAGCCTCCCAGCCAGCAGCACATCCCACACTTACCATCAGGAAATTCTTCTTACTGTTTCAGTAGGATCTCTGTTCCTGCAATTTCAACCCATTGCTCTGAGTCCTACTCTCTGGAGCAGCAGAAAAAGAGCCTTCTCATCATCAATCAAAACTTATAACTATCAGAAAGGGGTAAGGTTTGTCTGGCATGACTTGTTTTTGAGAAAACCATGTTGACTTTTTGCAAGGTGCAGCACTCCTTTCTAAGTGCTTAGATTGTCTCTTTTATGATCTGCTCTAGAACCTTTCCTGGTATCTATGGCAGGAGCCCCCAGTGGCGCAATGGGTTAAACCTTTGTGCAGGCAGGATGAAGACCGACAGATCATAGGTTCGAATCCAAGGAGAGCGTGGATAAGCTGCCTCTGTCAGCTCCAGATCCCTATGCGGGGACATGAGAGAAGTCTCCCACAACGATGGTAAAAACATCCAAACATCCAGGCATCCCCTGGGCAAATCCTTGCAGACGGCCAATTCTCTCACTACTGAAGCGACTTGCAGTTTCTCAAGTCGCTCCTGATACGAAAAAAATTCAGGATGATTCTGAACAGTAATTTTTTGGGTCCTCTTTTTTTCCTTTCTTGTAGATAAGAACATTAGCCCTCCTGCGTAGAATCATAGACCCATAGAGGTGGAAGAGCCATCCAGTCCAATGCCCTGCCATGCAGGAAAAGCACAAAGTATCCTCCACAGATAGCCACCCAGCATCTATTTAAAAGTTCCCATGAAACAAGCTTCCAAGGCAGAGTTCCACTACTGAACATGTCTTACGGTCAGGAAGTTCTTTCTGATGTTCAGTTAGAATCTCATTTCCTATAATTTGAACCCATTGCTCCAAATCCTAGTGCCTGTCCAGACAGTACCTTTATTGTGGTATCTACTAATATCAGAGCAAAAATCTGGCAGTCATTGTTCAATAATGAAATTAGCCAATATGTATTCATATCCGTTTCTTCATGACCTTCCTTTGGAATTGATGTTGAGCTATGATTCCCCTCCCTGTGGAAAATTATGAACTGACAGAAGACTAGGAGAGGACTTACAGCAGAGTCAGCACCAGGAGATGCATTGGTTTGAACCCCTTTTCTCCCACAGATTATGAAACTATCCCCAATAAAATCATTTTAACCTATGATTACTTCTCTGTATCCTTCTTGACTCACTGTTTCTTTGAGCAGCTTACATTCTTCAATGCCTTATGCTTCATCTGGTGATTGGAAACTTTGTGTTTTAGCTTTAAGCCTTGCCAGGCATGAACTCAGTTTCTGCATTCTAGATCTCACCATCCATGAACTGCTCTAAATTGCTCAATAACATTTGGCAATCCAGATGGAATCTGTTGGCCGCCCCATAACCACTGCTGCCTGGTTCTAGAGAACTGGGACCGACCCTTCCCCGACAGACTTGGCCCCGAGTACTCACAGGGCTTCTTTGCTGCCCAACTGGCTGGTCTCTCACAGTTGGATTGTTCCTTGGGCTCTGGCACAAAGAAGCAATAAAACTAAGACTGAAGAGAAACCACCGACATGGGGGAGCAATCCTAGGTAAGTAGGAAAAATAAAAAACCAGCCAGGGAGCACAGTCAAAAGTCCTAGGTGGTGAATTCTGGTTGGAACACCTTGGGTCACGGGTAATGAAAATTTCTAGGTGGTGCTAAGCACCACGGTTCTTCTAGAAATGCAAAGTTCAGTCTTATAGACTAAGTTGCTCGATAACAGAATTAGGAATACTGTAGCATTTTCCCAAGTTTCTGGGATCCTCTTGCCCTCCAAAATTGAACGTCTCTTGTAAAACCCCACATAATTCTTCTTCAAACATCTTGTAGCAAATCCATCTGGATGTGATCATTCAGGGACAAGCCAAACAAGGGATTCAGGTGGCAAAGGTGCCAGATTCCATTAATCAAAGCTTAAAACAGGCTACTATAGAGAAAAATGAGTGAATAAATAGCCACGAGAGGGAGCTAACATTAGCAGAATGACGTATTGTGTAAGGAGACTGCCTATGTTCACAATATTCCTATGTGATTTCTGGTGGTAACTCAGAAATAGGGTTGATTTGGCATACTTTATTCCTGACAAATCCATGCTGAATCCCATAATCAATGCATTACTTTGCACATGCTCATATTCTGGCAGGTTAATAATGTGTTCTAGGTTGTAGGCTTTTTCGAGCTATGTGGCCATGTTCTACAGGCATTCTCTCCTGACGTTTCCCCTGCATCTATGGCAAGCATCCTCAGAGGTTGTGAGGTGTTCTGTGTTCTAGATTTCTGTTCAGAAGATGTTGGTTTGCAGTTGCCTTGATCTTCCTTTTAATAGTTGTTTTATATGGGGCAACATTTCTCTATTTCCAATCTGCTATCACTTCACATGTTTTTCAGGAATGGTCAAAGATTGTAGAGATAGCACCAGTATACTCCTTCAATATTCTGGATTGTAATTTATTTATGACTTTGAAGACTTGAACTTTTTTAAAGGAGCCAAGTTCTTTTAAAAGTAGCTAGGTGCTTTTTAAACTCTCTCATAATTTACGCTGACTTTCAAGTACCTAATTGTAATATAATGGGGCTCTCCAGCAGATTCTATATTAAAATAATCACACGAACTTTTAATGCTACGTTGTTTTCAGAGGCAGGGGCAGGTTCTGGGAGTACTTGGTATGATTCTTAGACCATGATCTTTCTCTAGCCGCTTCCACACAGCAGAATAAAATCCCACATTATCTGCTTTGAACTGGAATATATGGCAGTCTGGACTCAAATATCCCAGTTCAAAGCAGATATTGTGGGGTTTCTGCCTTGATATTCTGGGTTATATGGCTGTGTGGAAGGTCCCTCTGACCAATCTCTAACGATACACGTACTGTGGTATTGTTATTTAAGGTTATTATTACAAAGAGAACAAGTTGATTGTCTTGGACTGTCTGAGGTGTGTGGTTGG